AACCATTAGTATTTGAATTATTAGTCATAGTTCTTTAAATTGTAAGTTGATAACTTATAGTTGACAGTGAAACGTGCGATTATATCAGTGAAGAATTCAGATTTTATCGGTAAGAAAACTAAACACAGAATAAATAAGTACAGACCTCAAAAAGATTATTTAATAACAATTCAAAGAACAAACAAAACCGAATGATCATAGTATTAAAGCTACTTTAGCCTTTGCTGATCGCTTGTAGTATTTCAAACATTCTAGCATCATTATAATGTACGCATATACTATGCAAATACATCTAGTAATAATGCACTTTTGATAGGCGAAAAAAGCAATTGAGTTATTTTGATTCATATGTTTATACGTTGTTTGAGAAAGAAAAAGGAATTCCAAATTTTAGATAAATCGACTAAATTTACGAATAAGTGACTAAAGCAATAACTTCTAGACCAAAGACTAGCCTAATTCTTTTGAGAGTAAATAGCATACAGAAAAGATAAGTAAGCGAATTGAGTCGTAGACAACGTAGAATGCATGACATTGTGAGAATACATCCTATTCCGCGATGTTGAACATTCGGGAATCAGTTCCATCCAATTCCGAGAACTCGATCATCATTCATTATAACACATCTACTCGTCACTGACCGAGTTCCATCAAATTCCAGGAATTCCCAGAGCTAAGTTCAGACAGAATTACCCTGAAATCCCAGCAATTCCGGAATCGGACAGAATTCCCGGGAATTCCTAGCAATTACATCCGATTCCGGAATTCCTGGAATTGCTTCCAATTCCGGAATTGGTGGGGATTCCATCTCAACTCAATTCTCGGAATTCCGTACCGGAATTACTTCCGCCCTCACCCTCACGCATAGTGTTGTGACTGAAGATTATTCTCTCGCATAAGTAAGTAATTCCGGTACGGAATTCCGGGAATTGAGTCCAGAGGGAATCGCACGAAATTGGCCGGAATTCCCTGGAATTCCTAGGAAATCCGTCCGATTCCGGAATTGTGAGAATTGCTTCCAATTCTGGAATTGGTGGGGATTGCATCTCAACTCAATTCTCTGAATTTCGGAATCGGACCGAATTCCTAGAAATTCCGTGCAATTCCGTCTCGACTCAATTCCCAAAATTCCGTACCGGAATTACTTTCCGCCCTCACCCTCACGCATAGTGTTGTGACTGAAGATTATTCTCTCGCATTAGTAAGTAATTCCGGTACGGAATTCCGGGAATTGAGTCGAGAGGGAATCGCACGGAGTTCCCGGGAATTCCGGGAATTGCTTCCAATTCCGGAATTGGTGGGGATTCCATCTCCACTCAATTCCCGGAATTTCGGAATCGGGAGGAATTCTTAGGAATTCCGTGCAATTCCATCTGGTTCCAGAGTTGCTGGGAATTCGGAGTAATTCCGTCTGGACTAGTTTCCGGGAATTGACGGAACTCGGTCAGTGACTAGTAGGTCTGTTATTGGGAATGACGATCGAGTTCCCGGAATTGGATGGAACTGATTCCGCAATGTTCAACATTACGGAATAGGATGACTGCTCGGTTGAATGGAAAGTATAAGAGTTGATTTTTCTAGATCATTTGATTAGATTACAAAAAGATACAATGTATTAAAATAACACCACTTTGAGTTTTGTACATGTATGCGTTTCAAGATTTTTCAAGATTGAACCGTTGGTATTATTTTTAAAAACGCCATGAGCCATTACTGTTGAATTTGTAAGCCATTGTTCAATGGCCATATCCATGACTACATCGCTGACATGAGTATACATACTAACAACGGTTTCTGATGATGTCAAATCGATTTGTGGCATTAAAAACCGGTTTGTGTTCCCTTGCATACTATGTTTCAGTTATACGAAAACATGAACAATGTGTTTTTCTTTTTTTATATTTCAGATACTAAACTAACGTGTAGTCGACCTTGTAGTGATAATAAATGTATTTGAATGAGCGAATATGTAGAAAGAGTGGTTTAAGTTAACTAAATATAAAACCCTTAACATTTCATCTATATTTTAGATAGACAATCATATCGTGGAAAAACTCAAACTATTCATTTACGAAAGAATAACTTAGCATTTTGTTATAGTGGCACAGACACATTTAAACTCATGAAACACACACATCTTTGCTGTTACGCTTGTTGTCATAACAGTACAAATAAAAAGAATGAACTTTTTCTAAAAAAATTTAAATCACCATTGCAGATGTCCATAAAAGGAAAATGTAATTTAATCATAAATGGAAAGTTACAATGACCTTAAACGAACATAAGCAAAATGTTTCAGTCAATCTGAGAACGTTCCTTGACAATCAATTCCGTCAAAACAGGTAGATGATCAGATGGATAACACATCTCGTACGAATCTGTCAAATTGGCATGTTTGAGTACTCTAAAGTGAGATGGTGTTACAAAGATATGGTCTATTTGCTCACGTACACCTTGTGTTACGTCGAAGTTAACCTTAGAACCAGAGGGACCATAATGAGGTGTCTCCGTCAAGCATTTGGCATCTTGAAAGATAGTATCTGTGATAATAGTGAGGTAAGCATTGGAATCAAGTCCTGCATTGAAATCTCCAGTCAATATGATAGGTGTTTCGAGTCCAGTTATCTCTTGAATATGTGTCAGGAGGAGACGGGCTCCTTCACGACGAGCAGTTTCTCCGTCACGCTCTAGGTGTGTATTGAAGTAGTACAATGTCTCAGGAGTTCGTCGATCGTTTATTTTCACCCAGCTACATATGCGTGGAAAAGTTGCGTCCCATCCCTTACTACCAGGAATATCTGGAGTTTGCGATAGCCAAAAGGTACCCTGGTTGAGTAGTTCGAAACGATCGGAGAGGTAAAATATGGCGGAAAATTCACCTTTGTTTTTGCCATCGTCACGACCGACACCGTAATAACTAAAGTCAGTTAATGCAGCTTGCAAGTCGACCAACTGATGATACAGAGCTTCTTGAACGCCAAAAATATCGGGTGAATGATAGCGAATAAGGCCAATGACGCGGTCTTTACGAAATTTCCATTGATTCTTGCCATCGTTGACGACATCTTCTCGAATGTTGTAGGTCATGATACGAAGCGACGAAGACCATTGTTTGCTCGACATGGCTACTAGCAATCGTAAGAAAAGCAGCGAGAATGTTGATGTAGTTGTCGATTATGTGATGTGCTGAGTAGATCAGGTTGAGAATGAAAAAAGAAAGAAGCTTAGAAATAAAAATAATAAACTATGCTTGCCTAAGATAAAGAATGATGTTATTGATATAGAACAAAAAAAGCAAGAAACAAATCCGTCATCCAACGTTGAGTTGTTGCGATAAATGAGTCATCTACCTCACCAGGTTGTTTTTGTGCGAGAAAAAAGTTCTACATCAAAGAGTAACTAGTGTATTCAAGATCAATTTTTGATTAATTTTTGACTAAATCGCAATGGGAGCACTTATTATGTGTATTCAGGATGTGGATGTGGGTATAGATGTGTATCTTCTCTTTACTCAGACTTACAGCTACAGCTAGATCCTCGGATTGTATATCCCTCTTGATGTCCATATATCAATATAGTTGAAGATTTTGAGTAATTTGATGTAACTGAATGGATAACAAATTCGATTCTCATGTATGGGTATTGAGCTGGGTAGCTGCTGTGTTGGATATTATGACTTGTAACTCATCGTTACCTAACATATATATATATATTATGACATCTCTATTCTTCTGAAGATCATACCAAATTCTTTACTAGACTGATATTTTCAAAATTAAGTTGCTTTCGTTCTTGATGTTAATAAGAAATTTTCTTTTGTTTAATATCCGTAACTGTATACTGAATAACAAGAACAATTAATGAAAATCTTGTCAAAAATGGACATTAAATCAAACATATCTGTGTATAAGTGAGAAAAAGCGAAAATTCCATCTTTCATCGTACTCTAATGGAAATATTCGGTCTTTATTGTCAGACAGATCTTGTCTAAACTTAACTCAAATTGATATGCTCGAGGCACATACTGATAGTAGACTTAAAATAACTAAGAAGTTCTAGAGGATGGTTTTGATGTACCTTTGAAATATGCTGGAGTGTCGTGATGTATGGAAGCATTTCTTTTCTCCGTTTGAACCGTCTATATATGTAACCAAGATAAATAACTCACAGTTATCGCTATTTTTTAGTACTTATTGAACAAGAAAAATAAACAAAGGTATGTTTCCTTTTTTCTAATAATGTAAAAAGCTTTGATATTCCAATGAATTCAGTGTCAACATAAAACTTCAGCTATAGAATATGAAAATATGATGTTTGTATTGATGTTACTTTTTTTTTCGTCCTTCACTTTTAAATCGATCATAAAACAATAGTTCTGAATTCTATATATTTTCATTTTAATTGATTCAAGTAATTATTGTCCCAAATAGATAGAATAAAACAATCTCTCCGTGATTAGTAGCAGCAGCTACATCATGTTTCATATGTTAATCTCACAGATATTTTACTTACAGCTAATATAGATGAGGAGTAATATTCTATATCACTATTGAGTTTCTTAAAATTTAAAAAAAATTGATGGTAATAAAATGAAATTAGAAGCTTTTAATCAATCTTTTGTCTAGATAAAAACCAGATTAGTACTCCTATTATTCCGACAAGTATCATAGATGAATAAACTTTAAATTTCAACAGTAACAATCATGCCATTTCTTTTCACGGTTCACAAAAACGAAGAAAAAAAAAAGAAAAAAAAAAAGAAGCTAACTGCTGTACACACGCACATGACAACAACGAGCAGAAGGACAAAAAAAAACCAGAAACCTGAGTTAAAAACAAACAAAACACGAGAGCACCAAAAACAGACAAACAAAACGACGAAAAAAAAAAGAAAAAGAGAATATGAGGGAATGCATTCTCATCATCGCATTAATTTTTTTCGTTATATGAAAGACCATAGTGGAGTAAATTTCTAGTATTTTTATTTTGTTCATTCTCTCTCAAGATTCACTTTTAATTATTGCTGATGATGGCGATGATGTTATTGGTTTTCCTAAATCAGTTACATTAACTGAATATGGATGAAAATCATATCGTCGTCGTTGTCGTGCTGCAACTCCACTATTAACCATAGTTGGACTTGTTTGTGTATGATACATATGTGTGCCAGTATGCACTTTTAAATTTCCTTTTGTTGTAAATGCTCGACCACAAACCTAATGATAAAGAAAAAAAGAAGTTTTTTTTTTGTTTAGCAAAAATGAATACGAATTTTTTTTTTCAATATATCTTACTTCACATTTATAAGGTTTTTCACCTGTATGTGTTCGATTATGTATTTGTAAAGCTGAAGCTGATGAAAAATTTTTCGAACAAACATTACATATATGTTGTAATATAGATGATGAACGTCTTGTATGATTTTTTTCATTATTAGTTAATGTATCATCAATTAACATTTTTGATGTTATTGATAAATCTTCACCATTTTCATTCATACTATTATCTTTATGTTCATCATTAATAGATGTATTTGTATTATTAAATGCTGCAGCAGCAGCTAAAAATGGAAATGTACTAGCAGCTAAATTTGGAAAAAATTGTGGATTAAATAAATTAAACGGTGATAAATGATTGGTTAAATTTCCATTTGAATATGTTGATGCCGCAGCCGCTATAGCTGCAGCTAAAGAATTTGAGATAGCTGATGACTTTGTATCATCATCTTCTTCAAGTTCGTCACGCTTAATTGATTGATTATCACGCTTTAAGAAAAAAAAGCACAAAAATAAATAATTTTATTTCATTTAAGGGGAAGATTCTCTTATCGAAGTTTCTCAGGAATGACTATTAAACTTTTAGAACTGATCAATCTTGATAAGTAGAACAATAGACATTTAATTTCCAGATGTTTTCTTTATGGAGATACATGCAATGGCGAAACCACGAAGAAGAGAACCTTTCAGCCAAAGGTTTTAGTTCTACCAATGAATATATAGGGTTTGCAACGGTAACAAATGACTAGAAGTTCCTTTCCTCAAAGTCTGTAATTCATTTTGTTTTTGAGCTACAATATGACAATTAGGATCAGATTGGGAAGTGAATTTTTTATTCTTTCAAGAGTATTGTTTCTACATCTCACGAGAAGCAAAATACTGAAAGTAATGTCAAAAAAACCGTCTTCTTTTTCAATGATATTAATTTCTTAAAGGCAGTCGAATTTCATAGGAATAGCATAAGAAAATAAAACATGCACCCCAATAGGACCAAAGTACTCATTAAAACTCTTGAACTCGATTGAACATTTTGTGAGGAAGAAAAATATTGAAAACTGACTGTGTTAGCAGTCTATGACCGGTGTTCTCAGTACCTTTTAAAGCTATGCTTAGGAGAATTTTACATACAACGAATAATAAATTTTTCTGCTAAAGATTTCGACAGTTACGTTTAATAAAACTATTAACTAGAAACGAAGACTCTTCATTTATATTGCATTTAAAAGAGGACATTTTGAAAATATGTCAAAAATCGAATTGATTTTAACATTCAGAAAAAGTGAAGGAAGAGAAGTTAAATAAAAACTATATACTTGAATATCTATTTGTGATTCATCATCAATACTTGATAATGAACGTTCAGAATCAATTGTACGTAAAGCTTCTTCAGCTAATGATGCATTATTTGGATCAACTAAAAAGTAAATATATAAAATTATTTGTTTTTTTTTATTATGACTTGATTTTATTCATTATTACTAAGATGATCTTTTAAATGTAAACGTAATTGTTCAATATTATTAAATTGTTTTTGACAAATTGAACAAGATTTTGATTTTATTGAACAATTATCATCTGTTATACGATGAACATTCATATGTGTTTTAAGATTTCCTTTAGTAGAGAACGCTCTGGAACATATTCGACATCGAAAAGGACGTTCGCCTGTATGTGTACGATAGTGCATTTTAAGTGCACTTTGACATGAAAGTATACGTTTACAAACAACACATTCATTTGAATCACTTTTATTTGTTGTTCGTTCAAGTTTTTCAATCATATCTTTTAATTTAGCCATATTTGGATCTTCAGGTTCACCTTCATGTTCTTCCATTTGAAATTGTATTGTTGATGGTATTTGTTGTTCTTCATCGGATTTAATTGATGTTGATGATAAATGATCACTAGTTGATAAATCAAGTGGTGATGTTGCAGATCTTTCATCTTCTTCAGTTTGAATTATTAATCCACCTTTATTTTCATCGTCATCATCATCACCATCTTCTTCATCATCATCATCTTCTTCTTCTTCTTCTTCAATATTTTCATCTTCATGATCATGGTCAATTGGTACTGGTGATATTACTTTTGGTAATTTATCACGATGCTGTTCAATATGAAGTTTTAAATTTGATTGAGAAGAAAAATTATGACCACAAATATTACATGAATATGTTTGTTGTGTTTCAACATTTTCTATATATTAATAATAATAATAATAAAAATAATCAAGATTTTTGTTTTCTTTTTTGTAAATACCTTCATTTTCAACATGATTTTGTTTTTGTTGATAAACTTTTAATTGTTGTTGAAATTGTTTTATCATTAATGTTTGTAGACGTTGTTGTTCTTGTATAGCTGCTAATTGAATTTTTAATTGATATAACTCGGGATCAATATTTTCTCCTGTTGGATGATTTTTATTTGTATCATGTAATGTTTGCATTCGAGTTTCATTTGTATGAGACATTCTTTTCAAAAAAAAAAAAGAAAAAGAAAAAGAAATAAAGAAATAAATAATAATTATATTTCACTTTTTATTCTACTTATTATGATTATTTTTATAATATATTAAAATATTATCAATCCAAAGAAAAGAAACATGATATGAAAAAAAAAACGAAGACTACGATGAAAATGAAATGAATTAAAACTACATAGAGACGCGCGATTATTGTTTATTAGACGGCCGTCTACTGCTAGAAGAAAACAGCTGATCTCTTTTTTCATCTCTATCGAGATATATTACATTTATAGATATAGATATATATATATAATCTATTTATATATATATAACATATAAAGTTATATCGATCTAACACGCACATGGTAAACAAACGAGGACAAAAAATAAATTTTATTTCAATCATCTGAATATGTCAATTTGATTTAAACATTTTCTAATATTTTCTCCAGTTGAATACTTACATATACATACTGATCAGAATAAATGTTTGTATAGCTCCCCGATTACATTATCTATATATATATATATATATGCACCCAAATCTATCTATCTTATTCCTAATGCATGAATTATATTCAATAAAAACATTGTTGGCTCTTTTTCTTTTTTATATCAATGTTCTCTATCGATGCACATATTATTTTGATTGCGTGTTTCGCCTTCTAGAACGAGCATATAAACGGACGGGCGCAAAGAAACAATAATATCTATGAATATAAGCCAACAATCGTTTTTTTCTTCTTCTCTGTCTCAAACACCCAATCCAACAACGCAAGCAAGTTTGTTTTCGATTAAAATATCGATACATAAACGTACCTCGGTTCGCTTAATAATAATAAGAACGATGGAAAGAAGAAGCAACAGCAAAAGGAAAGAAAAAAAAATGAGGAAGATTAATCAACATATAAAATAGATAATAGCAGTCTAATATCTGCTAATGCTGTGCAATGCTACAAATATATACACGTACTCAGACTAAGAGAGTTTACTCGTATATATTTATCGAACACCAAAAAAAGAAGAAAAAAAAAAAAAAAAAAAGAAAGTCATTTACAGCCATATGCCTACTATTCCGATCGAGCGAATTTATGAAAGCAAATATGAGCATACTCTTCATACATACAGACATTTATGATTATGGTATTGCAATGAGATGACAACAACGTCGATAGAGAGAAAGATATATAATTCTTCATCATAATAATACGAGAAAGAAAGATATAGACAAGCAGAGAAACTCATAAAAACATATAAATCAGTTAAAAGAGATGACAGATAATCGATTTATTCTTATTTATTAAACGATAGAAATATATTTCTCATTTCCATAAAAAAAAAATTCTTTCGATTTCCTGTAAACACAAAAGAAATTACCAATGAAAATATATTACAATATTAATATGCATAACTATTGCTTCAAAAAAAAAAATATTTTCATACATTTTATGACTAGAAATTTTTTTCTCGAGTAAATATATGATATCACTTAATCGGATAAAGGAATTAATAAAATTTTATTGTGAAATTTATCAATACAACGAAAAAGAAAAAAAAAAATACTTCCAAATTATTATTATCTCTTACCTGTTTTTATTCTTCTTAATATTAAAAAAATTGTCGTGCTTCTGTATCTTATACTAAACTATGACTATTCACAATAATATTACAATCATCAAACATATAGTTATTGTTCTCCTAGACGAAGCAAATGCACACGCGAACTATAATCCATGAATAGTGTATGCATGCACAAACGCTAATAATGTTGATACAAGGCTTTATGAATCGATATATACATACACACGTCGTAGCAAAATTGTATTTATATTTTAGTATGATATCTGTTAGAATATCTCTATAAATGTCATCACTATCTTACCTTCTTTATGTGAAAAACTAAAATCAATTTTTTTTTTCTTCTTCTTCTTCTTTACGAACATACAAATGTTAAGTAATTATGTTGAACATACAAAAAAAAAAAGAAGAGGGAGGAGGAGGAGGAGAAGACTCATCATCATCAAATACTAAAATGAGGGATAAATGAAGTAAAATGCTCAGTAGATCTACCGAAAAGATTAACATGCTTGTGCACATTGTTTGATAAAGAGAAGAAAAAAAAATTCTCGTTTTTTTTTTTTTTGCTTGTTAGAAATGCACGCTCTCTCATTTTATATGTTAACAAGCATTTGTAACGATCATCTTAATCATGATCATTTGTACAAATTTCTAATTATATTTTACTGATGACTTTGTCCATATGTTGCCGTTTCGTATATAGGAAACAGCATGAGCTTCTGTCTTTTTTTTTCCTCGAATACATACCCTGATATGAAAAAAAATTCTCTTCTAGAAATAAAAAAAAAAAAAAAGAAGTAATAATCTATTCTCTATCGTATTTGCTCGATGGTCAGCAATTTTTTTTTCTTTCCTTTTTCATCGGTCATCTGTGAATCTGTTGTTGCTTCTCACATGCATATATATATATATATATATATGTATATATATTTTTTTTAATATTTAAACAAGAAAGCAACGAACAGATGTCGATATGTCCAAGAAGATGACGACGGTCAATGCCGCTTTCATTTCTATATATATAAATATATATAGATATATATTTATGCGCATAAATCTAATTATAAATAGAGAGATGAAATTTGAAAACACATATATACATATATATATTCAATAATACGATCTTCAATGCATATACTATTCATTTTATATTGTGTATGTCTATTTCATCATATATTGACATTCGCCTTTTCTGCTGCTTTTTTTTTTATATTTACCGATGGCCTTTGGACGAAGCATAGAAAGAAAAAGATTAATTAGAATAAAGATAGAGATTAATATTTGCGCGTGCTTGCTTCTACTTTGACAAATCATAATTCATGTTTAATTCAATAAAGGTCAATGCTTTCTGTATATTTAAATGAAATGCAAAATAGCTAAATGAAGTCGAGATCATTTAATCGTTCTGTAAAGTAAAAAAGAAAAAACAACGACATGAATATATGTTGAAATTTGTAATTGCGTTCTGATGTATTGACAATTAATGTACTGAAAAATTTTGATTGATTTTATTCATAATACACTTAATATTGTTTACTTTGAATGATGAATATTGTTGATGTCGCTTCTTTTTGTACGAAAACAGTGTCATTATTACGTATTTTTCTTTTTGACCTTGAATCAATATGCTTATTACTTGTCGCATATTCATATGTATGACGTAACTATTATTCATCGATTGCCAAAAAGTTATTCTACTTATTCTCGTTTTCTTTTTATTTTCAGGGTCAAAATAATTGAGTAAACAGAAAGGAAAAAAAAAGGAACTTGAGCACACTATAAAATATCTTACACTCGATTCTTTTTTGTTTTGTTATTGTTTTTTTATTCTTTATTATATTGCATTTAGTGTGTGTGTGACACACTGAAAAACAAAAACTAAATGACAGCGACACAAAATGATATACAACGATTGATTGAATGTTGTATTTGTTGCGATTATCTTACTGAAGTACGTGAAACACCTTGTTGTCATCAATTATTTTGTCATGCATGTATTTTATCATGGCTTCAAACATCAACAAAAAATTGTCCACGTTGTCGATCAACAACACTTACTGAACAAACTTTAACAAAAAATTTTGTTATTCAACGTTTTGTTGATAATCTTGAATTTGATTGTCCACATAAATTACAAGGTTGTCCAGCTAAAATACCACGATCTGATTTAGCAAAACATAAACAATTATGTCAATATTCACCAGAAAAACTTGCTACAAAAAATCGAGCAAAATTAGAAGAATTACAAGCTATATTAGAAAAATATAAAAGAGAAAAAAATTCTGTTACTGATAAAGCTATATTTGATTTAGCAAAATCATTTTATACCGAACATGAATATCGACATGCAAGAGAATGTTTACAATTGATCAAGGATAAGAACAATTTACCTGAAATAGTGATTCTTCAAGCACAAATCGAAGGAGATGATAGCCATTATGATTTAGCATTAGAATTATATACACAAGCTTATTCTGTAGCAAAGTCTAATCTTGAACGTAGTGAATTACTTTTAGCAAAAGGACATTTATATATCAAAATAGCTCAATATGGACACGCAAAGGATACACTTCAACAAGCTCTTGATCTTTTAGAAAACGAGGATCATCCACAAAGAAAAGCTGAAGTTTTGAATGCTTTTGGACTTGTTGCTAAAAAATGTTCAGAAGTAAGAATAAATCTTTTTTTTTTTTTTTTCTAAAATTTCATTGACTTTCATATATTGTTTTTATCTCATTCAAAGTATGATCAAGCTATCTCAGCATATAACAAAGCACTTGAAATAGTTGATATGAATTCAGATGTTTGGTCTGAGATTATATCTAATCTGGCTGGTAAATATCTTGTTATTTCATTCTCCTTTTTTTTTTATTATATTATTTTAAATATATAGATATTCATCGGAAGAAAGGGAATTATGATGAAGCAAGAGATCTTTACTTAAAAGCTCTTAAACAAATGGAATCGCTTTATGGACAAAATCATCCATCAATTGCTGATATAATGAATCATCTTGGTATGTTACTTAAAAAAGAAGGAAAATATAATGAAGCATTAGATTATCTTAAACAAGCAATAAAAATTTCTAAACATTATTATGGAGAAGAATATCCAAGTGTTGGAATGTATCTTACAAATGTTGGTGATATTTATCGAAAAGTATGTTAATTTATTTTTCTTGAAACTAATTTATTACATATATTTCTTTTTTTCAGCAAGGTGATTTTAAAACAGCTGAAAGAACTTATAAAGAAGCATTAACATCATTAGAAAAAGCATTTGGACCAAATCATATTGAAGTAGCTGAAGTTCTTAATTCAATGGGTTTAGTTTTAAAGAAACGTGCTGATTATGATGGAGCTGAAAATTATTATAGACGTGCTATTCAAATTGTACATGATACATTTGGTCATGATCAAGAACATTATAAATTAGGTATTTATTATAATAATTTAGCTGATTTATATCGTAAACGTACTCAATTTGATACTGCATTACAACTCTATCAACGTGCATTAACTTCTATTGAAAAAACACTTGGTCCACAACATTCTGAAGCAGCAGAAATTTTACATAATATTGGACAAGTTCAACATCAACTTGGTTTGTTTTGTAATTTTATATTAAATAATCAATAAATAAGTTTTTCTTTTTTGTTTGTTGTTGATTTTAGAAAATTATAATGAAGCTATTGATTATATAAATCGAGCTTTAATTATTATAAAAAAAGAATTCGGTGATAAACATTATAAATATGGAATGTTTCTTAATTCTCTTGGTCTTGCATATGCCATGACAGATGATTATACGACAGCTTATGTACATATGAAACAAGCATTACAAGTTCTTTTAACAACATTAGGTGCCAATCATATTGAAGTTTGTGATGTTTATTCAAATCTTGGTGATGTTTGTATGAAACTTGTTGCTGAATATGATCATGGAAAATCAAAAAATAAAAATAAAACTGATAAACAATCAAAATTAGATGAAGCAAAAAAATATTATACAGAAGCACAACATATTGTTCAAGCAACATTTGGTCTTGAACATACAAAATCAAAACAATTTCTTTCTCTTTTATTCATTGTAGATAATTATAATTCATTATAATGAATCTCCTTTTTTTTTTTGTATTTCTTATGGTAAATCATCGTTTTCAATATTAAACAAACTCTATTTTGCAATTGAAATATTTTGAAAAAACTATTTTGTATATTTTCTATATGTTCCAATTTTTTCATGAACGTTATAAATATACATATAATAAAAACGTTCAAAAAAATCTTTTTATATACCTATCAAATAATATTAATAAAAAATATTTAAATGTAATTTTTGTTATTTACTAAAAAATCTCGTTCATTTCAATCACCTAGAAGAATATATATATATACGTTGTGAATTTATAATATAGTGATGTCATCGTTAATATCTTATGATTATATGAATCATGACTATTGATAAATACATGAGTAACTGTACAGATACAATCAGAACACTCATGCAAATAGAATAAAAAATAATGTATTTATTAGTTTTCTTTTTTTTTTCTTTCTTTATTTCGATGAATCATTAATTGACATGAAAAAGTCTTTGAGAGAGATGAATAAATTCAAAAAAGAAACACAAAAGACTGGTAATAATTGATGTATCATTGTTGAAAACATCATAAAATGTCATATTTTAGTCAAATGATTACCATGGACATAATGCTTTTGGCATGCTAGAAGAAGCAATATAACCTCGTTGAAAGTATATCATGGCCTTTTTTCCAGGTCGATGAAATACAATAATACATAATAATATAAATTTATTAGATTATTTGTTTTTTATATTTACCATACTGATTTTTAATATATATCATCAATATTACAAATAACTGATAGTTCATATCTTGGAATAGATAGAATTGATACACAAATTGATTTTCTTTTGTTATTCATATGTTCAATTCATCGTCGAATGTTGATTGACTTCATACTAAATGATATAGAAATCTATATTCATATTGAAAATTTTCGATGGATTATTTTTTTCGCTTACACATAAGAAAGGTCTTTGACAAGAGAATAAGCTAAACATTCTTCATAATATTTCATTGACATTCGCTTAACACATGCATTGTTTCAATGAGTAATACAGCGATCAGACATATAATGATGAACTAGATAATCGATTGAATGATTTTGTCAATCACAAAAACTAATTAAAGATATAGAACTATTCAAACAACGATTACATATTTCTGTCTGACTTAACTCATTCAATCAATAACATCGTTTTGAACTTAAAGGCAAAGATCAAATTGAAGTCTTTGTCTTAATGATATATTTGAAATTTATAGTTAAGAGTACACAAATATTTTTTTTTTCTATACTCTAATAAGAACGAATCACTTTTGACGATCTTTTATTTAATGTGATGAATTAATCAACAATGGCATTAATTTTTCAGTATCTGAAAACAATTTTTTGTCTTTTTCATTTAATAGTATCAAGATATTTTATCTTTACTATAATCATTCTTCTTAATCTTATTTTTCAATATTTCGAAAATTTTGCTTCTTTTGTTTTGAACTATGTGAGAAAAATGATTAGAAGTATTAATCGAATGTTTATGATTTTAATAAAAACAGCAAGCAAATATAACAACTAGATATACTATTCAAATAACATCGATTATCAAATAACTAAAAATTATAGCAAAACTTTTTTTTTCTTCATACTAACAATAAATATAAAAAGATTCTAAGCATGTTGCTGAATATTTATTTGTTCTCTAGTTTTAATAAAAATACATCAAATTACAATCGTGGTTTAAAAAAATATGTTGATGTTGTAGATGTTGACGTTCTTTTTATTAGACCCATTTTTTCAAGCCAATCTAAACGTATTTGAGCTATGGTTATTGGTCGTCGATAAGGAGTCGTTATTGTTGTAGTATTCCAAAGTGGATAATCCGTTTTTTGAATTGGTCGACGAATACTATTTGGAACAAATACTCTTAAAAAACAAGCCAATAATGAATACAAGATAAAGATAATTATACGCCAGATATTCATTCTATTGAAACAATATGAGATGATTTGTGAGAGAAAACGAATAAAAAAAAAAAGAATGAAAAAGAATTTTGTACAATATACATGCCAAGGTAAAGACGTACAAGCACATTTTTGTTAAGAAAATGTCAAGGTATCACGTGTTCAAATATATATATATATATATTGATTTCGAATTCCCTTTATATCTTTTCGGTAATATAAATTTTATGTTCTTTGTATAGAATAGTTATATCTTAAATGTTCAATGATCATTTTTATTTTTATTTTTTGGATATAAAACCATTTTACAAAGATAGATATTAAGTCTTTTTTATAATTTATTATTAAAGTTTGTCTTTAATTAATAACAGAATTAAATTAATACCAATTGTAATGAATAAAGCCGGTAGTATACGTTCAGCATTAGATACACATATTGCTCGTGTTTGACCAGCTACATTTCGGCGTGGACAACGGTCAGGATACCAATCAATACAATAACTTTGTGTACATGTAGTCGCTTCTGAACAATACCATAAAGGACGAAAGCCAACTCTTGTAGGATTACAATTTACTGATGTACAACATTCACATACACAATCATTACCATTTGTTTGTTGTAGTTTAAATAATAAAATCATTAGAAAAAATGGAAAAATAATAAAGACACGCATTATTATCAAACTGTTGAAGGATGAAAAGAAGTGAGTGAAATCGTCGATATTTATATATATATGTGTGTAATTTTGAAAATCTGGTATAGTTTCCTTAACTTCTTACTTCTTATTGCAATTCGATTCCACTTCACATTCCAAGGCAATATTTAGTCGATGTTGAATGACAACGACAAACATGTTTTCGCATTGCATCGAGGACAAAAGACTTTAAAGAAGTAATCATAATGGAGGAGTCTTAAACTATGATTACATACGTGGGATAGAGTATACTCAATTTTTTTAAGCTAATAGACAAATAGTAAATATATAAATAAAAAAGAATAAATAGAAAAAATAATAATAAAATGTAATTTACTATTGTATTTATTTTTAATATGAAACGAAATAATCTCTCAATTTTAATTGAATTTCAATATTCATTAAACATTCTATTAAAATTTTTCAAAAATGAATAATTAAGAATTTTTTTTTTTTGGAAACTATTTATTTTTTGCTAATGATTATCATTAATAGTAAATTTATTAGTCTAAAATTATAAATTTAATAGTATGATATTATTTTGTTGTATTTTTTTTATCAACAATAATGAAATAAATCATTATTATTTTCTAGCCCATATAGAAATCAAATACTTATTGAAAAGCTAAACGCATTTTTGACCTTCATTCTCCATATTAAAAAATCTATATAGCTATATCATGTTAACTAATAAGTTTATATTATTGGATTTTTTCTTCTGCTGTTGTATTTAAGAGGTAGAATTAATTCAATAAAATAACATGGTAATTTAATCTTTTTTTCAATAATAAAAAGTATGATAATGAATAAACGAATAGTTTTAATCTGTGTAGACTCAGATAGAATCTGATGAAAGAAAATCTCTCATCTTTTGACTATTGAACATTGATATTAATTAAAATTATGGAATCTAATGTTAGACATTTATAAAAAGAAAATTTTTTCGGCATCAGTCCAAAGGTGATTATTGTAGATATTGCCATGTTAATTATTTAAAAGTACTCTTTGAATGAACTGATGGCTACAGTTTTATAAAAATACTGTTTTTTTTTGCGTTGTCATACAATAGTAAGAAGTTTAACAATAATGACAAACCTTTGAAAAATCGCATCATCTTTCAACAGTAATAAAACAATAACTTATTCTAATAATACATTATTTATTTCGATTACAAGTGCTTCAAATCATCAATACAGTGTACAGTTCTGACCAAAAGTAACTATATCTCATTAAGTGCTACTATTCTGTATGATAGTTCGAGTGCATGCGTACAACAATAAATCCTGATCCTAAACACCAACCTACTCTCAATCAGTTAGCATTGACTGAAATTACGATTCCAAGGTCATCTTTTTCTTGTGATTAACTAATTTTCAAACATGTTGCCACAAATATTTTCGTTCAATTTCTCATTTGAAAGATCCATTCTGTGGTCATCTCTAGTCCGAATTTTGTTAGAAATCACTTTTAAATAATCGACATATTGTTTTTCTCATTAAGACTTATTTTAAAATTTTACTATAAAGTTTCGATGAGATAACAAATCTTTTGTGAAAGTTTTACAGTTGCTACATTGAATGAAGTCGAGTTAGTGTACGACATGGATTGACTATTTTAGAGCATACCAATTACTGTTATTTTGATTATATATTATGAGCTTTGATGATACTACACTAGACATATAGGACTACCTTCAACGCTAGAAAACGACAATAGTAAAATGATGAACAAAAATTTTGTCGATGCATTTTTTCCACTAAATACGTTTTTTTTCAGGGGAAAAGGATGTGTAAATGGATCAAGGATAGATCGATACTTGCTACTAGGACTTATTGTCGCACATTTGCATCCCAAATATTAGTGTAATATCATAAAGAATATTAACACTTCATGCGGAGCAACTACTTTTGTCGAGGATTGGATATTGGATGTTTATTAATAAACATTATACTCAACCCACAGAATTACTTGATCTATTTGTCTTTATATATATTTGATAGAAAGGTAAAAGATCGTTTGACTTTCTAGCTGTTTTTACTTAGTTTGAATGAAAGCAAGCCGATGAAATTTGATTGATATTGAAAAGAATTATTTTCTTTTCAATTAAGGATTCATTTGAGCTGAAATCTGATCTAGGTTGCTAATGATATTAGAATAGACAAACATCAATAAAATACGTTTACTAACAATATTTCACATAAAAAATGATTGAAAATAGGGACTATTAGAAAAGGTACCTGAAAATATGATTTTTGGAAGATATTAAAAGCATCAAAGTAAAGCCACATAATGCCATAAATATTTGTTTATTTTTCATCTTGTCAGATTTTGAAGTGTATATAGAGAACAAAAATAAATTAAAATTTTTATTGAAACATTTCATATAAAAAATAATTCAAAATCGTGATTATGCTTAGCTCATTACTTACGATTATAATTTTTAACAAGAAATGAGAGAAATACGGACATAAATGCCAAGAAATAGTGTTGATGCATTACTTATTTAGAGCTTTGTTTTTTTATTAAGTTGAATAAATAATTTATTTAACGAATATTTCTGAAAATTAATTTTTACCTTTTCGCTATTAAGTATAATTTTTTAGGTGAAAATTTATAAATCTTTCATTCATTTTCATATGTCATTCTCTAATTCATGATTGGATTCTCATATCCGATCATTGATGCGTTTGAATAAAAGAAGACATTTAGTTTTTCAATTTTTGATCGTTAAATACTGAGAAACAGAATTCTAAGCATTGTTTCTAACATATCGAATGGCATCATTCACTAATAAACCATCGGTGACTAGAATTACCTATAAGTAATATCAAAAGATTCTCTCTTTTTATCAAAGATATTTATTATATAAAACAAAAAGACTATACAATCTATTTGTGTTGATTGAAAAATATTATCTGATGCTTTACTTCGTAAAAAGAAACAACCAACTACTGTTGCACTACCTAGAAATCAATCCACTATTCATGTACAATATTTATCAAAAAAAAGGAAACATGAATAGAATAATATTGATCGAAATAAATAATATTCTAAAGCTAGATATACAGTTTGATAAGTTATCTATCTTGATATCTGTTTAAAAACTATGTATATATAGATATTTAAGCTATAGACAAGATCAGGAAATAATCGAGATTCAAGTGACTGAAAATAATGATTCGTTCTTGGACTTAGAAAAATATTTAGCTTCTTCTTGATTTTTTTCGATATCGACAGCGATCCTAGTGAGTAAAGAACTGGTAAAAAGACTAGTTGTATTTCTAGGCCTTTGTCACAAAATCTTAGTAAACGACTAGCCCACGTGCTAACTATGTCATTGATAAACATCATCATATTTGTTATGTCTAGTCTTTTTGAGACAAAGACTAAGCATGTTGGACTGTCGTGACACTTGTCTAAAACAGATTTTAAATAACAAAAACGCGAGGGTCCGCAATCGTGCACACAATGAGTTGTAGTCTTATGTATTGGCTTAATCTAAATAATAGAGATATTAGCAGAAAGATTAGAATCCAATATGCATACGATATAAGACTTATCTATCGTTTAGCCGACTGAACTATACGCTTAAGTGATGAGCTGCTATATGTTAATAAATATTCTTAGAGGCTGTTTATTAAAACTTTACTCAGAATTTCTTTTCTTTCAGATACGAAACATTACAATTATATAGATGACTGATAGCTCTATTATACCAATATTCATATGTTCTAGTCAGCATCGTCACGGTAGTTGTCGGTATTACTGAGACAAGCATCAGCAATTACTACTCAAACAGATAAAGACTACGAGAAGTATTACTTCAATCATACTGATAGTTGATCTTTCTAAGTTACCGAATGAAAACTAGCTTAATGATAGTGTGAAAATTGATCCTCTATATACCATCGTTCGTTGAAATAAAACAGAAACAGTTGTCGAAGGTATAGGCTCATTAAAGACGACATCTAATCATCTTGCACAGTCATACGGTATACATATTGATGAAAGTGATATAATTTGCATCCAAAAATGGGTTGCGAATGCATCAAATAGCTTGGCTTTAGAAGCTAGTATTATGAAGAATAATGGTTCAAGTTATAATGCTCTCCATACACTTATTTATCTCGTTTTCGATATATATGCTTACGTTTATATTTCCAATGCTGTGAAACTGTACACTATTAATTCATGTCTAGTTTTGACTTGACACTTTGAACGAAAACTTCATCATCAATTTACACCCATATCCTTATATAGCTCTGAAACTAGTCGACCAAAGAAATTCATGCTGTTGTTAGTTCTGGTCATCTTAATTATCTACTGGCAATCAAGTTCAGTTTAGATATTACTTGTTCACTTTTCTGTCCTTCAAATAGTCTATTCGAATCGAATCTTCATCTATAAATTACAAATAAAGACAAGAACCAAACTGATGAAATATGTACAAATGCAATTCCTTTCTTTTATTTCTTGTTAACGACTAATAAACTTTTAATCATATTGTATCCTTTTGTAATTCAAAATATTATTGAAAAAAAAAGAGCATTTCAAACAGCTAGTACATTGGATGCTGATACACCTTTACTAAAAAAAATGAAACACTTAGATTTTCTTTTTCTGTTAAATCTATAAGACGTCCAGTAATATGGTTCGTTTTCTCAAGTATCAATTTCTTCATGGAATCCAGCTGACAAGTTTCGTTTTACAAAATACGACTGACTTAAATTTTACCATAAATGAAGTTATTAAAATTTCTATGTTTATAGTCATATACATTTGATCTCAATAAGTCAAATAAAACTTAACGGAAAAGAAAATAAAATTATAGAAAACTCGTGCAAAACCATTTAAAATGTTGAAGAGCTATTATTGATTGCGATAGGTTTCTAGAACACTCTGGAATAGCTTTTCATTCATTTATATGTTCGATAAGATTTGTGTTC